TCCTTGCCTTCTTATTTTTAGACCCAGGTGGACGGCCTCTTCTCTTTGGAATATTAGTTAAACTCTCACCTTCTATACTTGAAACAGCTGCTTTATCATTGTGCTTATCTCCTATGTCTTCTATGGTTCTGGTAGTTGGCTCTGAGTGGAATGTAGTTATATTACCTTATTGCTTGATTCTTCCAACTTTGACTAACTGAGCTTGTTGAATAATATCATGTGAGGGCTTGGTATATAGTCATGTAGATTGAATATGCTCTGGAGCATAAGAGCTGTACTTACTCCATATATCAAACCGCTTTTCAAGGTGCAAACCAATTGGCTCCAGCTCTCTTAGTGCCAAAGTACTCATTTGTTCCAATGTTATCCCTGACTTAGTAAGATCAAATCGCTTCCACTCATCTAGTGGAAGATTCTTTGCCATTATGGTATCTGGGAATTCCTTAAGAAAAAGGAAGTTATGGAAGCCTTAAATTCCTTTTAGTGGCTTGAAGAGTAAATTAAGTGATTCTTCCCAATCAAAGAATACCCCATGATCTGCTCCATCATCAAAGAGATTAACTGGTTTAATCATATCATTGGAGGTAGAACTTGCCACAGCTGCACTATAGTCCTATGGAGTCTAGATATTCTTTCTTGAAGCATTGTACTTAGCTGTTCCAAATTCACAATCTACTGAGTTTCTAGTGTGACCTTTAACTTGAAAGCAGAGTTCTACACTGTCTGTCTACTCCTGTTGGACTAACTAGCAGAGATACGCTGTCATTGTCTTGTTCTTATTTTGGCCTCTACAATTATCTGCCCAAAGATATATATGGAGCTTCATCTTACCTCCAGATATTAAATAATAGTGAAGGAGAGATACTACCTGATTTGGGCCTTTTGGTTGTTGTGCCTCAGTATATAGTAGATGGTGATGCTAATTATGTTTCTTATTCTCATCGACAATTCCAAATGAATACAACTTAAAAGGTGAAAAGAAGTACCATTGACCAGGCTGTTAAGGGAGCTTTGGTATCTCAACTACCTGCTAGAAGTCAAATGAATAGCAAGTTGTATCCTTTAGATAGCATATTGCTTGTAAGATAGTAGCCTCATAAAAGTCTCTACACCTTCAATATTCCTTATGATGCTGATCAAGTTCCTTTTGAGTTTATATTAGCTTCTCATTATATGCAATCTCACCTTGCATTCTGTTAGTTCCCTCAGGAGAGTGGAGCTTTCCTTTTAGAATTGTACAATGATCACAAATGTCTTTAGCAGAGGTTCGGATACACATCTTCTTGAATCTTTTACTTCTCTTCCAATATCAGTCAAAGCTGGCAAGCGATATAGACTGTCCTACTAAACTTGTTTTTTTCAGTTCAGCATGCAGAATACGTAAATAATAAAAGGAAGGAAGTAAATATTGATTATCCAGCTCTACTCTGGTAATTATAGTCCCATCCTGTTTATATTGCTTATAGGACCTAGTAGCTACCGGCTCACCATAATTATTTTCAAGCTGCGAAAGGAATGATTCCATACAATCCTTGGCTTCCTTAGTGAAGCCTCTATTCGAGGGCTGTGTGGTATGCTTATGGATTGAAGTGCATATTGACTTACCTAACTTCAAGTAGCCTAATAATCCACGTACTTGATACTTGCCTAAAATCTAGTACCAGCAAAAAAAAGAACAGTACACTTGACCAACACAGAGGATTACATACTTATTTCAGCACATACGCTTACTTAAATCTATTTCACCATCTTCCATCTCTAGACAGGATCTCTTATTGTATTTCCTAGTTCCATGCAGCTTTACAAATGTCATAGTACTAGCCATAAGACAACTTGCTAGCAGCTTATACTGCTTTGTTTCCATAGTACAATTAGCATTCATTCAAGTGAACCATTGCATATAAGAGGCATGTTTATGACATTCTCTCTTGCAGGAACAAGCCTCATTAATCTTAGAAAGGTGAACTCTATACTTACCTAGTTGCTCTAAGTACATCTGTTTAATATACTCTTTAATCCTCTTTTGATTGGATTTACAACTTTCATCTCCTAAATCATTATATTAGTTAGTAATAAATAATGCAACTAGGATTAAAGACTTTGTTTTCTGTATAAAATCGCTTTTTATAATTGGATAGTATACATATCATGTATGCTTTCCATCTCTTCATACTCAGATTTATACTCAATCTCTGTCTCATTTTCCCATGCATATTCTTCATTTACAATTGAATTATAGCTGGAGGCTGACTCATTTGATGATATCAATAGCTCTGACATTGTTGTAGCTGTCGTAAAGGGTTGTTGGATCTCTATCACCAAGCTATCATTCACTCAGGTAATTCTGTTACAGAAAGCAAGTAGTATTATGGTAATTTGACATGAATTATCATATCTACAAAAGTTAAATTAACTTTGAGTAAATGTTTAATTGATCATTAAGTTAATACTCATAGTAAAACAATATCTTTTATTACATTTTCACTGTAGTTTAACTAATACTACATCCATCATAACATATCACTCATATTATATAAGCACAATCTATAATTGTCACATGTAACAGTAGCATTAGAAATACAATTATTGAAAACATATGCAACCAACATGAAACAGAAATAGTGCAGCAAGGAATAAACTTTTTGTAATAATTCTTTGACCACAAGAATCCCAGAGAGCAAAACTTATTTTACATGGCAAAAAGTGAAAATCTCAAAATTTCAGTTTTTCCTGCATAAAATGTGCTACAGAGGTCATTAGGTGACAAATAATATTTTCTGAGCTACTGAACATATACTCTAGATGTCTAGCTAGTTGGCTAAGCTTAAATAAATTATTTGTGGTTGTGGCCCGAGAGTGGGTTTTCTACTGAGACAGGCTCAAATTTATATAAATAATATAATAAGCAGTGTCACCGCAATGGAGGAAGGTATCACAGATTAGTAAATATTCCGTCCATAATCCTACCTCGCCGGAAGAGATCAAAAGGCAAAACAGAGGAAAGAAACAAAAGTGCAGAAGTGCCCGACCAGGAAGAAACCCTTCCGAGAAAGAAAACACTCCCCCACTAACATGCGTTGATCCGATGCAATCGAACCTTCCAGCTATGATACCGTCCATGAGAGAGGAAAACAAGGCAGGGCAGATCGATGGATGAGCGAGTGGGGCGCCAGGGCCTCTTGCCTCAGGGTCTGTCTTTTCGCCGCTTCTTGAAGAGGAGTTGCGGGTTCTTGACGATCCAATATTCACGCCAAGTGGTCTTTGAATTCCAACGGTTGTATGGCGGGAGTCCGGCTAGATGGAAGCCACTATTCTAGTGCGCTAGTATAGTATAGTACGAGTAGTATCAAGTAAGCCGAGGGATTTCGGGCGAAGGAGCAGGCGGGAATATGGGCGAGCTGTGGGTTTTTGGTGCCTGTGTCGGTATTCAAACTTAGTCTAAGGATAGTACACAAAGAAAAAGAAAAAAGAAAAAAGAAAAAAACAATCTGGCTCAGTGCTTCCGGTTAGCCCAACAAGAGGGATTTCTGAAGAAATATCAATTAGTGTATTTGGTGGAGAGCTGTGTACAGTACAGTACAGTGCTGTACTGTAGACGGTAATTTGGAAAGCACTGTATCACAAGAGAGGACAAAACTTGTTGTAAACGTGGCAGCCTAAGCAGTCCATCATGCAAGGACAGTTGTATTCGGGAGGGAAAGGAGGTTGGCCACCATAGGCCGCAAGAATGCCATCGTTCAAAAGCTAAAGATATATGGTATTAGGGACAAATTCACCCTTCTGTACTATGATAATAGTACTCGCAGCCGAGTTGAAGCCGGAGACCTTTAGTGGTAATCCCCCATACAATACAAAAGTGTTAGGCTTCAGATCAAGCTTGTACAAACCCCACCTTCTCCAAAATGGTTCTCCGTTTACTCCCCAGCAGGAGGGTCAAAGTTTGAACACCCCCCCTCCCCCCAGATTTTCATCGTACATTCAGACCCTCCACTGAGCTGACCGGACCAGGGAGGAGGAGATCGACGATTATGGGGCCAGCCGATTCTCTCGAACCCATAAAACCCCGAGAGAACCATATCCAACCTCCAACCGTACGGATAAGCGGCACACTGTGATGAGGCGGCTTATAAAAAAGGTGTAACCACGCATCACCAAGGATGCGGGATTTGTTGGAAAGTGGGGGGGGGGGGGGTATTCAGACGAACTTTGCTCGCGGAATGTTAGGCTAGAAGTTGGGAGAAGGGCACGGAGGAGCACAGAGGTCTATTGTCGGCGCTATTGTTCCTGGGGTGTGACACTGTACTGTACCGTACAATGAAGGTAACAATATTATTGTATCATACAATACGAGAATTTACGGACGCGGTAGTACGGTACTGGTTGGTCATAACTGGTCACTCGGATTGGTCCAGCCTTCTGCGGGGTTTGTCCGGTTAAGAGGCTGGGTGTGGGGGCTGGAAGTGGTTGAAGCCATCATAGATTGTTGATTGTTCATTCATTCGTTCGTTCGTTCCTCCGCTTTCTTAGCCGAGTTGAGCAATGCTGATAGGGGCGTACCGTATTCTCTAGTTCTGTCAATGGGGTATTCTCTCGGGGTTCTGCTTCGCATTGAGCTTTGACCGTAGTACTAGTACTCAGTACTCGTAGTAGACTACTACCCGTATGCTACCCCGCTACTCCACAGACCGCTCTCGAAAGGGGATTTCCTAAAACCTGCTCGTGATCTACGATCGGTGTGATACTCAATGTGTGATTAGGTAGTGGGGGGGGAAGGAAAGGAAACCTAACCACGATAGCATCATACTTTACTCCCACAAAGAAATAGAGGCCGAGGTCGGCCTTCGGGATGGGTGAGGACCCGACGTGGACAAATACTCAAGATATAACGGCCAATATACACAAAGTCACCTTCCAGACCAAACCGGGTGGCTGGATAGGACTGGAAAGGCCGGCGGCCGTGTACTGTATTATACCACGGATATCATATATTCACTGGTCCGGTCCGGGCCAGATCCTACCATTCTTAATCTCCCTGGCATCCACCCTCTTACCGGTGTTATGCCTATGCTACGATACAACTTACATAACTCCCCACTCGCCACCCAACCCGTTGAGTTGAATCTCCCTTCCCATCACGTGTCACCAGAGCCCCGGCATCGAGTAGGTGATACCGCATGCTCCGGCTTCTCACTAACCCTGCTAGGATTGCGCAAGCAAGCAGCGCTGCATGACGGCTATGCTATGCTCCTCTCATCCCCTCCTCCCCTTCTTCAATGACCAATGTGCGGAACATCATACGACACATACCGTTTATGATATTTACATAGGTTGGGTATGTACTATATTGTAATGTAATAGCCGAAAGAGGCAGGGCGAAAAAAATAAAAATGCCAAGTACAAACAAGAAAAGAGATAAATGGGGCATCGAAAAAAGGGAATAAAAAAAGGGAGAAAACGGTCGTAATCTTTTTAATGTAATACATTGATGTCGTGATGGTACCGTATCGTGGCGGCATCATAGAGCTAACGGGCGAGGGTGGATGAGCAGGGCGGACGGAAGGGGAGGGTATGGTGCGGCATGATGTGCATTGAATTGAATTAACGATGCGATACCGTTTCTCCTCCTATTTATCATGTCCTTCCTCCTGCTCAGAGAATCTAGGTATCTGAAGAGGGAGATTATACACCGCGGAACTAGTCCCCAAGTTAGCAAACCTGCCTGCGAAACCAACAAGAAAGTGCCCACCATCCGAATAATCAAAAACCAAGAAGCTCCCAAAAACCTAAACGCCGACAACGCGGCCACGGTCCAAAGCACAATCGCAAGATAAATCTTGCTTCTCTCCTTCTCGCTCTTCTCGTCATCCAGACTAATCCTATCGAGACCGGCACTGTTCAAGATCGTCGCAGCGAGGGCAAAGTTCGAAAACATCCACACAAGCACGACGCAGGAACGCACACCAGCATAGTAATCCTTTTGGATCTGTGATTCATTTGGCTTTTCCGGCTCGGGCACAAACTTTTCGGCGAGGACTTTGATTTCAGCTTCGTACTGCTCGTCAAGATCTTTGTCGTCTGTTGGGACATTCATGTCGGCTTTTCCGTCAACTGTTTTTACCGCTCCGTTTTTGATGGGTGGGGGCACGTCAGGCCCTTTGGTACCCCAGGAGATATCGTGGGTGTTGCAGAAGGCATAGACGTTCAGGACATTGATGTAAGAAGGTGAGAGGAGGAGGTACTGGACAAACTAAGCCCTGGTTAATCGGACAATCCTAAGCTTTCGGTGACCGGATGAACTTACACTGGTGAACATATGCCATGGCTCAAAGAACATGAACGAAGCCACAAAGTAAAGCAAGTACGTTGACGACAGCGAAATCAACAAATCTCTAAATAACTGGTTCTGAAAGATACTGCTGGCCGAGAATTTACCCCCATTATCTGCTAATTCCTTCGTAACAGATTTGACGGAGATGAAGACGGCAGCAAACAATAGATACCTGCCGTGAGATTAGCAAGGCCCTTAGGCTACCCGGAATCAACCAGAGGAGACATACACCATGAGAACAGCCCAGAAGATGACAATAGTCATATAAAGCTTCTTAGTTCCTTGCGGAGTGTTTCCGAGTGACAGAACGAAACAGGTGAGGAGAGTCCCAAGATACAACCATTCAAACACAATACTGAGCACATTGCCGGGTGGAAAATTGAGAGCCGGGTCCGCCAAACTGACTGTTAAAATCCTAAAAACCAGAAAAAAGTTGCCGATAGCGAACCACGAGAATAACATAGATATTGTCTGGTAGAAGAACTCAACGTGGAACATCAATTTCCGCATCATCGAGTGGTCACTTCTCCAGATATCAAACATGTGCACTAGAGCATAAACGGCAGCGAAGAATGAACCATTGAGCCAACGCCTTCGCTGTAAAATCAACTCCGACATTTCGTCCGGCACGTCCGTCTCGGCACTTGACGATTTGACGTACTGCAAGACCCAGTTCGCCTTCCGCTTAGCCACAAGCTCAAAACAGAGAATACGGTCCTCAGCAAGATACATATTGGCAGTGAAGATACCAGCGTCACCACCATGCATCTTCTCTCCCTTAAAGTATTTCTCCAAAGGACCTTCATCCTGTGCGTCGTTCTGTAGCGCCGTATATCTATAGGCGGAGAAAGCACCGGGGAGCACACTGATAAACCCAAACACACTCTCCAATGGTTTGTCGAGAATATTGGACATCTTGTACTCGAAGTTTTGAGTCGCAACAAGTGGATTGAGCAAATATTTGCCTCCCGGTCCCAACATGGCCTTGATTTCACCACAAGCACCTGCGCACTGGGGATTGATGTCGAAGGCCTTCCATAGGTGATAGATACTCGACCCGCCAGGTTTAGTTCCCGCATCAATGAGAACACAAACATTCGGGTCAAGGACTTGGCCGAAAGCTTGGAAAAACCAACGATGCGAGTTGATCTTTTTCTGATTTCGTTCTTTTAAGCAAAAGAGCATTTGAACTGGCCCTTGCTTCCCGTTTGGAGTAAGCTTTACCAGATCTCCTTTAAGATCGATACCAACTTGAGTGGTGTACTACGAGTTGTATATTAGCCAAGAATATTAACCACCGGCAAATCGTTGTTGAGCAAACCTCGTAGATATGAGCCGTAACTTCCTTGTCGTTAACCTTCTGTTTAGCGATGCCCTCCTGGTAACATCCCATACCCGCCAGAACACTCCGCGTCCTAGGATTAATTTTACCACGGCCATCACTAACGACACAAACAACCACCTTTTTCCAAGCATCCGTACCCCACGTCTGCGAGCGATTCCTAGAACACAAGTAGTGGATGTTCTTAAAGACACCAGCCATTGTTCTAGCGAACAGGATTTCGTCCTCGTTGTACATAGTGACTACAATAAAGAGCTCCGTATGACGAGGTTTCTGGAAAAGCTGCTGTCGCAATGTGAATTTCTCCCGGACAAACTCGGAGGGGTCACAAGTAGCAGCCGAGTATCTTCACCGGACCCAACAATTAGTTTTTTTCTCTTCCCTCAAAAAAAAACATGAAAAAGGTAACCAAGAAAATCATAGGGGCAGACCTCATATGCGTAAATTCACGCTCAGCTTTCGACGGGAGCACACCAAGTAGTTTATTAGGTACCGGACAATCCAGGACCAAATTCCCTCTAAAAAGCTCCACCTTCTTAACCGTCTTCCATCTTCTCAAGCCCGGTCCCGGGGTTGGGGCAGACGAGACGGGCGATGGGATGTTTCGCGGAAAATAAGAAGCATCGCCAGGAGTTCTATGAGGGGAATCTGGCTCTAAAATAGGTCGTCGGTCATCATCATCGTGGTAATCGTCGTGATGGGTGGTGTATTGCGTCAGGGGATAGGTATGATCGGGCGGATGGGGTTCATAGGGGTCGACGGAGTAATTGTCACGGAGACCCTCCGGATAAAGACCTTGCGAATAATTTATAGATTGGCGATGGCCAGTTCGGGATGGAGGGCCAGGTGGGGCTGTGTTGTACGAATGTTCAAGGTTCGTGACGGAATACTGCGTTGCGTCTCCGACTTTAGCTTCGTTCCGGGGAGCGCGCGAGTGGGCAAAATTTTGCCTCTCATGTAGCGAACCCCCGCCGCCATCCTTCTCGATGGGATGGCGGGGGAGATGGGAGACAAGGGAGGGAGGGAGATAGGGGTAGGATAAGTAAATAAATAAATAAGCTCAACGGATAGAAACTCACACTTGGTTGATACGCCAAGGTATCGCCGGGCATCTGAGCAGAGCCAGCAGGATATCCACCAGTATTCTGTCGTTGAGGCCTATATGGAGCTTCCTCGAGCTGGTAACCAGCCAGTGCGTGAGCGGGCGAGGGCGTCCGATATCGAGGATCCATTACGGGTGATGTAGCAGCTACTGGTATGTGCGACTGTCGGTGTTGTTGTTGCGCGAGAGGTCCTGTCTCGTCGTCGTCGGAGTCGTGGTGGTGAATAGGACCGTCAAAGTCGAGGCGGCTGTAAGCGTCGTTATTATCCCGGCCCGCCATGGCTCTCGGTTTTGTATAAATTTTTTAATCTTATTTTTATCCAATTTCTAAGTTATTGGATGGCCGGTTCCGGACAAAGGCAAATTCAAAAGTGGATGGGCGTCGCAGCCGGGTACGGTATCATACAGTTAAAATTAAAGCTAGGAAAGGTGTAGGTGTGTATGATAGTACGGTACTGTACTCGTAATGGGTGCTTAGGCGCGACAGCGGCGCCCCCAGCGAACGAGACGGGGAAGGGTCAGGACACTATGGAACAGTTAGATAAAACTCTTGTATCTCCTCTCCCCCTCACCCCTCTTTCCCCCTCTGTAACGTGTACCCAAGCACAGCAATGAAATGGCATAACTGACAGGATGATACGGTAGATGATTGTACCTTGACTGTGTTGTGTTGTACTTGTAGAGCTGTAATATTTCCTTCTTTCTTTTCTTTTTTTCTCCCCCCCGTTTGAATCTCTAACAAAGCGTTGAAAAAGGGCAAAACTGTGCTTCTTTACCCGTAAACCTCCGCTTGGCACTCCCCAATCCAATCCTCACAAATAAGGCGAGAAAATGGAATGTTTTCTTCCTCCCTTCTTTCTCAAGACCCAGTAACGAGTCGTTTTTTCTATCCCCCTTTGAACGAATTTTCTATCCTGCATGAGACCAATGACGAGTTCAACACGAGGGGACGCGACGACTCCAGGGCAAAGATGGGCAGGCACTGCTGCGGAGAGGGGCAGACAGGGAGGGAGGAGACCAACCAACAATAGCAAGGCAGAAAAGAGAAAAGAAGCTCCGGCTTACCTTTGGAGGGGAATTATCACACTTTCCCTCTATGAATCCAAATGTTTATCCCCAACCAAGAAGTAGCACCGGTAGCACTAAAAAGAAATCGAACCTGAAAAGCTCTCCGGGAATGTGTAAACCACTCTACCCACACTGTACCATAAAAAGGATGACGTCTGTCAGCTCTCCGTCTGGAGCCCCGCTCTGATCGACTGATTGACTGACTGACTGACTGACTGACTGAATCACTGGTATCTGAAGATAGCCAAGGGCAAGCTGACAGTGATGATGAAGATAAAGATGAGTGAGAAAGACGGGAGAGGAGGGAGGAGGAAGAGGGAAAGAGAGGAAGAAGTGACAGCACCAACCTTCCAATAAAAAAAAGCTGCGCTTCCTCCAAAAGACTCTCATCGACTATAAAATATCACGCACCTTAAGAATCCCGCCTCCCTAGCTCCCCCCCCAGCAGCGCAAAATTCTTTGAAACCCTCGATTCAGCTGCCGTCTTGGCAACACCCTACATGTCAGCCTCTCTCCCCTTCAAGCCTCAAGGGATTTTTCGTGAGCTATCACAACGAAAATCTAGCCAAGTTGGTTATCGCCCTGTAACGCACTGTTCGTACCACGTGAGATTTTGGGGAGGGAAGAAATATAAGCCACTGTCTCAAAATAGACTTGGGGGCGTTTTCCTACAGGGACCGCGCGCCGGGTTCAAGTTGTGGTTCCGAACCTACAATATCTGACCGGCGGGTACAGTACTGTACGAGTACTCGAGTGCAAGGGTGCAGCAGGTTTGACAGAGGGAAGTGTCGACGAGACCGCGACAGCCTGCTGGGGCGGTGCTACTACTGTACAAGTACCGGTGTACTGCTACTGTATTCTGTAGATGAGGAGTTTCTGCACTCCTGGCCCACACAGCAGGGCGGGAGGGCTCCCATGGTAACCTCAATGCAGAGCTAGAAACTCTGATGGAAAAAGAAGTGCCATATCATAATTTATCTTATCCTAAGCAATCTTTGCAGCAGACCCGCTAGGCCAGCGCCTCTACAGTACCTATCTACAAGTACCGTACAGTACTTGTATCATAAAACTCCTCTCTTTCGCTAAAAGTACTCCCAGCCCAGCGCGGTACGGTACGGTACTCGTACTCTAGCCAAACAGACACTCTTCGACAAAAGAAAAAGGGGCGCAGAACCACCACGAGTACTCGTACCGGTACATACAAGTAACCTCGTGCAGGGAAGACATCCACCAGCGGAAGAACCCATAATCTCCACCAAGCCACCATGCTTACCCGAGTACGGTACTGTACTCGAGTACAGTACTTTGCCTACCAGCGCCCACCAGCCCAACCAGCCCAGCAGGAAAAAGCCATCCCCTAAAAAAGAAAGAAAAAGAAAGCACGAAGCTACGGGCAGAACGCTCGACAACTATTGTCCCCGCTCCGCCTTCCCAGGAGCCATTTATATAATCCCGAGTGCCTCTGGCCCTAAACCCCTTCTCCAATGGCAAGAAGCTCTTTCAAAATTATCCACCCTGGGCACAGCCTACTGTAACCCCTTACCGTGCCGGTACAAGTAGGGTAGGAGTACTCGCGCGGCCTGGTTGGAAGCTGGGACACTTTGTAATGCGAGGATTGCCATCTTGGGTGGCGCACATCGACCCCACCACATTTGTACTGTACGTACTCGTACTGTACGGGTAGGATATGATGCACTGCTTGCTTGCTGCACTTCAGCCCCGTAAAGAGCTGGTGTGATGCTTGCAGTGGATTGGGTTTTTTGGCGTTCTGTCTGCACGTGCGGCTGACGGGGGGGGGATACCGGTAACGATAATACAGTGCGTTATCATATCATGGTCCAACCCAATCATAAGGTGGTGTGTGGGGGCCGGTCATGAGTGTTCACTCGGACCTTGTCTGTCACCTTGGCTTCGATGGCTTGGGATGTCGTGTTGAGGTGCGGAAGCATCAGCATCACACCGATAATAATACAATATCCTCCGCACTGTGCATCTGCCGGTATCGTAATACGGTATCATACAATCAAACCATCCCCCTACCCTACCTTCCCAAACACCCGCACTGTATAGCCCTCCGTTCTGCACCTCACTACCGTACTAGCATCCCCTCGATCTACGCTCGAGCGCGTTGTGAATGTTGAAAGTCTGAGGGAGAAGATATTGATAGTCGCACAAGCAAAATCCTGTTGTGATGGAAAATGCTACAGGAGTAAATATGATCACAGCATATCAGATGATCAGATCGCGGCCTTTGATGAGATCAGATATCACTCCTTGGCGCGACTGCTCAGTACATATACCAGTATGATGATGATGATGGTACGGTACTCCGACACCCGACTCCGCCACAGCCACAACCGACAACAGCAATGAATTATGGTTCATACCAGTACTCGTGCTAACCTGCCGCCAATTGAAAGACAAACCGGGACACTCGACGCAAGTCTACTATGTTCTGTCGGGGGGAAACGAAAGGGATTTCTGTGGATTTCTGGACCGGGTTGCTCCTGTTGCTATGGTCATTGAGTGGAAGGGGTTTAGAGTTGTATCATACGATGCTATGGTCTGGTCTGGCACAATGCAGTAGTCTGGTTGTGCATGGGCAGCGGAGGAGCACAGCACGGGTGCATATTTTACGAACTTATTATAGAGGGATTTTGATGCATCATGTAGTACGATGGGTCTGGAATAAACTTGGCATACAGAGAACCTTAAATGTTATCCAATGATTAAATGAAAGAATATTATCATGTTCCTCCTGCGATGTGATTCCCCGCTATTTCCCTACCGACCGCTAGAGCCCTGGTAACAGCATTGATCTGAAAAGCTTAACTATACTCCGCAAGATCCATCATTAAATCGCACCTCTCAGTCGCCCACGGATCCCTCACAACACGAATTTCCGAAAGGTTCATCCGGAGAGTATTCTTGCCATCTCCATATCGGGGGAAGCAGGCACCCTTCTCGCAACCGGGCTCCCCACGAGTGACATAGTCAGTGATGTACTCCTGATGGATGATAGCGGTTGTCTCATTCGCAATCATAGCATCGGGACCAGTGTAAAAGGTATAGGCAACATCCTGACCGTGATATGCTGGTGGAAGATTGAAAACGTATCTGTAGGACTTGTGAAACGATTTTGCTAACCATACTTGATTGCAGTTGAAGATTATATCACCCCAAAAGGCGGTGACTCGCGCCCATTCAGGAATTCCGGGGCCTTTGTACGGGTATAGAGCGAGTGCCCTTTTTTTTAGATTTTCTGGAGCTAGAGGATAGATAGTGTTGAGGGTTCTGTTGAAGGCGCCTTCTGTTATGTTGTCTGGGGTAGGGAAAAATAATCCGCTCTAAGAAAAATGTTAGTTCTACTGCAGTGCAGGCAGCGGGGAGGCCAGCATACCTCAAAGCCAACGCCACTCGAAATCAGGCTCCTGAGCTCATGGTGGTACTTCCCTTGGGCCAGGAGTCTGATAGGAATATCCGGGACAAGATCCTTATCAACTGCTGGGCCAAAACTTCCTATTTCCCCCGTTTCAAGTTTCTTGATGGTGTCACGATTTGCCTTCAAAAGTACCTCGGTGGGTGCGCCACGAAGACACTCCAGGGTGGCGCAGTTTGCGTTCTTCTTGAACTCGTCGTATTGAGCATTCCGGTCCGGGTAGTTCGTTCTTTTGGGGTCGAATCCGGCTGATTGGATGATTGCCTATTTTGGGTGATAGTGATGTTAGGTAAATCTCACTGATTACGCCTCGAAATGTAAGAGGGATATATATACCTGCTGAAATGGAAGCTTATTGCCTTTTCCTCCGTAACCCGTAATAGCGTGCATGATAATTCCACCCCCCGCGCTCTCGCCCATTGCAGTAACCTTATCCTTGTTACCCCCAAATTTGGAGATGTACTTTTTGACCCATTCCATCGCAGCCAGGACGTCATGGAGACCGATATTCGCATCGATGTCTGCCGCTTTCGGCGGAGACAACCATCCAAAGGCTCCAATCCTAAGTTATATCATGAATTAGCACTCGGAATGGGTGGTTTTTGATGCACCCGGGCGGGAGCAACGACTGACCTGTAATTCATGGATACATATATTATCGGTTTATCGGCAGATTGAATCAAACGGGCCGGGTCTCCCCACATCTCTTTAGAACCGATAGCGTAACCTCCACCATAGACCCAGGTGAGGACTGGCACATCATCACCTGGGTTGACAGACGCTGGGACATAGACATCCAGGTACTGGCCACCCTCCTGTTAACTAAAAGAAGAAGGAAAGGCTCTTTACCCATAAGGGCAGTGAACTTACTAGACAGTCTTCAACGCCGAAATCCGCTCCAAATCGATCGGGCAGGAAGGATAGGAAGGATAGAGGGTTCTGGTGACAGACACTCTTTAAAAGTGGGATGTCTCCATTTTGTATTCCAGTCTGAGGAAGCGGCGGTTGAGGTTTACGGAATCTAAGATTACCGAGAGGTGGCGCCGCATATCTTATATTACGAAAGTGGTAGAAATCATAAGTTTTGTTATAAGAGGTGGCTTGTTGCTTGACGTATCCAAGGTCAACAATTGGTAGGGAGGACGTCGCACAGCTCCCACCCCCGATGAGGAGGAGTAAAGGGAGAAATATTTCTCTCAACCCAATTTGAACCATGTTGTCATGGAATGTGTTTGTGTCGAAGAAAATGATTTTGTTGCGAAGGTCCCGAGCCTTATCCTTATAAGACTTCTATCTTGGAGGGCGGGCTAATATCGTAGATACTGGAATAATCGGATCTCACTTTAAGACGTCTAGAATTTCCGCCTTTGGAGAGAGAGACATAGCGAGAAAACTGCCTTTCGGCCCTCAGCCGAGATAAATAACAAGATACGACCTTGCTTGCTTGGAGAGGCAACTAGTATCCGAGTAGGATGTCCAATTATTCTAGTTTTTTATGCTATCCTGGCGGGGTCTGATCAACATTACGATATGATATCTCGTATTCAAAGCTCAGCCATAACTTAGAGGGTATGGGCTTGGCGCCGAGGCAGATCTCGTTCGTTCCCGAACTGCATGTGTGGTATGATACCTGGTATCATACAGTGCCTCTTACGTTGGACTAATACGAGTACAAGTGGGCGATCGGATAGGTAGGACAGGAAAGACGGTTATTGAGAACATACCAAGATATATCATATATCAGGATCAAGTGAGGTGCTAGGCAACAGGATTTACTCGAGGCCTTGCAAAAAGAGTCTGGATAAGGCAAACACATAGCTCTGGACCAACAAGATCAATGGGACTTGACACTGGATGTGAAATTGTAAAAGTCCTTGGTTGTATAAAAACTTCCCTATTGAGTAAAAGGAATAAAAAACAGCAATATAGAGAAACGCCAAGGTAAGCAATTATATATAATATTATAGTATCGTAGTAACGTCCTCCTAACTATGAGTTGCTAGGTGGGCTATCACCGGTAGGTAAAGAAATAAAGGGATTACCTATCTGGCTATCAGGAGACCTAAAGAGAAAGCAACAGGGGTTATACAATTGTGAAACTTTTTTTTATCATATGGCGATGGGATCGGAGAAGAGTTGTTATCGCGGCCGAAGTTTTTACAGTTGATTTTGTTAACAAACCTGAAATCTACATCAAACGGGATCTCCACCGATTTCTAGCGGAGCCAGCGCCGCGAACAACACTTTTTAGGTAGGGTGCTCCTCTCCGCGGTCTCGGGATGCACCCGAATTCCTGGTGGCTTCCGCTTGGCCGAGAGTGATATTTGCGATGGGGGTTTGGGTTTTTTTTTTTTTTTTTTTATATCCCCAGGCGCTGATAACCACTTTCTCATGAATCTGCAAGCAAACCATACTCCGCGGACGGTTCGGCCCACAGGAAAGATGGTTACCGGATGCATCTTATCCCCAACTACTCGTAATTCGGCCGGGCTCCTCGCCGGTTGCTTGTCCGAGCGCATAATTGGTGCCCTACATTCCTCCCCTCTCGGCCCGTCTTGGTAGCCAATGCCGTGAATGGCACAGCATTAGAGGCATTAAGCCCCGGGTTGAAAAGGTGTTTTCCGGCCCCGGGTTTCGAACTGATCTGTCAGTTTTGTGTGCGAAAATGCGTGACACAAAAACAAAAGTCCTTCAACTCGAAAAACTTGCTTCGACGTTTCTCATTCTTGGGCTGAGTGTTTCTATCAGTAACGGCCTCACTCCGCACTGGTGGTGCCAAACTCCACTCCACTTATTAATCGCTCATATCCACATGATACAGCCCCGCAGCGCCCCTCGGAGTAAGGAGCATAGGATAAAATACGCCCAGAAGTGCTAACTTCTGGGCCTATCAGACATCTCGATCGTGTGCTGCAGGCTGGGAAAGGTGCGGTGGTCGATTCGCATGATATCAACGAGTTTCAACCCTCAACCAAGTTGCCATTTGCCCTATAGGTGTTCGACAGCACATTAAGTAAAAATTGCATTTTTCTTATATTCAGTTATCTTTTACAGATATAGATGCTGGAAGTACGCCATCAAGGGAATAATAGGTATTGAGAAAGCTTGATGATTTGCTCAGGGTGGTTACATTGTGCCTAGACGACCCTCCATAGAGCCAAAATCACAAAGAAACACTCCCAGACAACAACGGGGTTTTTTTTCTATATAACTATACCCAAGACCAGTTCTTCCCAATTCTGTCGACTCCATCCTCCTCCCATTGAGTAAATACTGGTTGAGAACAATAAGGTGTGAATTCTTTAGCAGGGGAACATGCCTATAAATATATACCAAGGCACTGATTTTTGTATTATATCTATTGTGTGTTGACGAAATTAACTGCGATTCAACAATTGGTGGCAACCCACCCCTCTTCATCATTCCGCACTCTCAATAGTACCTAAAAAAATTGCTCTAAGTCAACTAAGAAGAAACCATTCTGCTCAAAAATTTTTTTTCAATAAACTATGTCTCCTATTCTTCGCAGTCATGCTAAAAAACCTATTCCCTCCACACATCTCTCTAAGTTTACCAGGGGGAGGATTCTCAGGTTATACGAGCCTCAGATGAGATATCAGCAAATTTCCCACTACTTTAATATCTTCTACACTACTGTCAGAGACACAATTGTAAAGGGACATCAAGAGGGCAAGGAGAATAAGGGTAGAGAAAGATATCCTAAAACTACCAAGTTACAGGATGATACTATGGTGGAGGAAGCTCTTAAAAATCGCCATACTACCTATTCTGACATTGTTGAGCAAGTTGCTCCCAATGTTTCTAGTAGGACAGTAAGGAGAAGACTTGAAAAAAAGCATCTTAAAAAGTGGATGGTACAAGAGAGAGTTCATTTGGATGAGGATCTAGCTCAAGAGAGGTTGGAATGGGCATTAGCTCATAGGCATTGGACAAAGGAGATGTGGAGAAGGAAGGCAATGTGGGAGGATGAGGTAGCTGTAGAAAGGGAAGGAGGAAAGAGGAGAAAATGGGTTTTCAGATATCCATATGAGAAATGGAATAAGGATTGTGTTGAACCTAAGGCTAGGAGAAAGGAGAGAGGGATTGGCCAGATGATGACTGGTTGTTTTTATAGTCAAACTCATGGTCTTTTTTTGCCTGTTTTTCCTGATCCTTCTTCTGCTAGGTGTGGAGTTACTGGGAAGTCAATTATTGATGTTTATGATCATTATGACTTTCTAGTGATATGGGAGAATATTAGAGAAAAGGCTGGAGAAGAAGAGGTATTTTTTATCATTGACAATACTAAGACTCACTTGCCTTTTAGGAGATGGCTCAGAGGGCAGGGAATTACACTGATGGAAATTCCTGCCTATTTACCAGATCTTAATCCAATTGAAAATATTTAGTCTCTGGTGAAAGGTAAGCTTCACAAGCACTACCCTGAGCTATATCTTATGAAGGGTGATGTCAATATGGTCAAGAAGGCAATAGTAGAGGCCATCACTCATTGTTGGGAACTTCTTAACCCAAAGGTTTTTGATACTTTAGCTGGATCAATGGTGGATAGAATAGAGACAATTATTAAGGCTGATAGATGGTATACCAAATATTAATTTCTACTATGTATTTACATCTTTTAATTTTTTTTTTTTGGTTTTCATGATAGTGGATTGGTGGGTGAGTGTGGTTGTCATCGCTGAAGATTTTCCTCTGTTGAATCGCAGTTAATTTTGTCCACGCACAATATTGCTAGGCAAACCTGTGGAACAAAAGGATCAGCTTTAGGTGTCCGGCACTATATCCCGAGAAGTGTCTTCATTAACCTCATTAAAGCTTTATCGATATAATCGAGACTAGGTAGCATACCAGCAATTATTCGGTCCTTGTATCATGCGAAATGCGAGCGAGCAGGGGATAATGGCCACGGAGCTCCCTGGTGGCTCAACTTATATACTATAGCATGGGCAGTATCTCAGTAATAACTTGGGCTTAATTCTTTAGAATTTTATTGAGCGGAGCGGAGCTCCAATAATAATGCTGGTACTGTACTCATCCTAGTTCCCTTTCACTCCAGGGCCAAGTTGAGCATAGCGAAACTCATAAACTCTAGGGGCCACTAAGCTAGAGCAAACAGGATCCTAAGAAACCTCTCGTCTGGTATCGGGACAACATCTTATAACTCTGTGATAATAGCTACCCCTACCGACTGAGCACAAGAACGCGTAGCTTAACTGGCGATAGGATATAACGACCCGCGCAAAACCATTCTCACCAATGCTCGTCCCCAACACTCATCCTAGGAAACACAGCGAGCGTAAACCCCGTTGTATCTCAACAAAGCAAAAGCAATGCAGCCTCTAAGAATCGAACCTAGCTTCCATACAAATCGGAAAGGACAACAGCATAGGTGCTAGAGGTTTAGCAATTTGTCTGTGTCCCTCGTTGACCAAGGCATCCGCTGGCAGTGTGGGAAATCTCAGTGCATGGCTACCGTCTAGCACTCGACAGCTGTCCATCTGTTAACATTCTATACCGGTTGTAGTAAACTTAGTTGTCATATTTGCCGAGTCGGCTCAATTGCCTAGCAACGGAGGAGAGTCGATTGGCGCGTGTTAGAAGCGTTGATAGGCTTGGGGAATTGGGATCGGAAGTGTGCGAACTTGGAGCTATATACTGTGGACAGTCGAGTGTCGCACTGAGGGGGAGGGGGCAAATGTGGTCATCGATGATAATTGCGGGAGAGTAATAGACTCGTATCTACCGTACAAGCTCGACTATTGAAGAGCCATAGAAGAAGCAAACATCGTCTGCATTTACAAGTGAGAGAGGTTTAGACAAAGAGCCAAAACAGGTTTACTACTTGCCTCTTCCATCTTGAGATGATCGCTGACTTGCCGGGGGAATCGAATGACTTGGTCTGCTTATCCAGCCAAGCAAGAGTATGACGGGGATAGCCACGTTCACAACTGTTTTTAAACCCTAGATAGAACTTTGGAAATTGCGTTGTAGGCCTAAATTAAGGTCTGCTACGCTAGGTCGATCGATATAAGTTAGTACTAGGGAATTATCTCTCGTTGATTGCTCGTTGAGTTTTTGATTAGGATTATCTCTGTACTCGAATACGGTCTTGCTTCTCGACGCCTGGCGGTGGAACCGTTCACTGGTAACTGTTCTCCTGAATCTCACACCTGTTATCATTTGGCTAACTTATGGTTCCGTCGATGATTGGGCGGTCGATGGCCAGAGCTAAATAATCCCTACTCCGAAAACGTTCTCAAGAATACGTCGCACCTTCCCAGATTTATGTCCGGCATTCCACATTCCAGCAGCTACTCCTAATTCACTGAAAGGTTACGGTATATAGCACAGTCTCGGTGTGATACCGGTATGGTATAGTAGTTTAAGTGTGCGTACCGTACAGTACTACACCGTGGCTGCAAAAGCGCACCTTCACAAGTCGATTTCGATTCATCAGTTAGTAAGTCTGGATAATCAATCCCATTGTACATCCTAAGGGTGTCACAATGAGTGAGTTCTTTGTACTGATAGACTACTGGGGAAAAGGATTATAAAGATGGCCCTCCATCCTTGCCCAGACCTGGCAAGGTGTAGTGGTTAACTATTTCGGAAAAGGTATCCTGTTCCATCAGTAGAGAATCACTGGTGGGTTTTGTGGGTGCTAAATTGTCATATGCGGTACCCGTAATGAGTTGATAGAGAATTCCTCAAGTTGATGGAGGGAACTTTAAATTACAACTCATGAAGCATATCCTTGCTTGGTAACTTAAAGTAACTTTCCTGCCCCCCCCAATCCCTTAGCGGCCTGGCTGGCGCTGTCTTTCAGTAGTTTTTTGAACTGGTGGTTTTCAGGGTATCGAGCATTATAGATGCTAATCCTTCGACACTGCTAGCAGGCAACCTTCGTGGCCCTGTCAGAGACCCTCCGAGGCTTGATAGCTGATAGTCCGCTTTTCAGTGGTTGTGCGCCCAAGCCCCAAGTTATTCGTAGGCTTCTGCGTATCCATAGATGTGCTGGTACTTTGTATGCCTTGCTTAGCCTACCGGCAGTTCCTGTAGCGAAATTCCTGCACTGTACTGTACCAGGGTCACCATAACACCAAGGTGGTATATACTCGTAACTGAACCACATTTTTTTTTTTAGCACGGTTGCTATCGCATACCGCCAAAACCTAGCAGTTTTTCCTTAGATCTTATTGCCTTGGAATAGTAAGTTAGTCGTATTCACAAACGTCAAACGCCGTTCAATAGCGAGTACTCCATGTCAGCAATGACGTATTAATACAGTAAATCCACTATCTCCGATCGCACGGGGTCCGGCAAGAAGTTATTGAACAGTTATTTGAGGTTAACCAGCCAAACACATCCTCGTCTGTTCCGGTTAATGGACTCCTACCCTTGTACCCTAATCGAGACAAAACACCCCAAGAAGGAATTGTGGTTTCCAGGCACGGTGTAGCTTGGGTGTGCTGAGTCTGCCTTGTCTCATTAACTGGTGTTCGTTATTTTCTAAACTCACACTGCCGGCCCTGTTGTGGTTTAGTGCGCCGATTTACGTTGCGCAATTCGACAGTACGAGTAGATTTACTGGATTAATACGGTAGTGATATTATATTTGCCGTCCCAATAAGTCTCCGAAAACCCCGGCGTTTCCTAGGCCTAAACCGTGCCAAGATTTCCGGAGACTTTGGAAAACGAGAGAAAGGTGGAATCCGTTGCCGTGGTTACCACCCTTATCAACCCCGCTGTCCACCCATGTTCATCCACTCAGATTGTGCAGCTGCCCCTCCTGCTCCTCCAGAAACAAACAACCACCCCTATCGATCATTTCCATATTCTTTGCCTCCAAACCCCGTGAACACTCTTTAACCTGTTCGTCCATCGAGGCTACCATTTGTCATGTCTAGCAGCAGAGTTGCAGTTGAGGATCTTGACGCTGGCATGCATGCTGATGAGGATGCTATTAATGTTCTGTTTGTCTGCCTTGGGAATATCTGTCGTAAGTAGCCCCCTGATATCGGCCCTAGTTTGCCCCCTAGGGCAGTGGCTTGACATATATCGCTCCTTGGTGGTTAGAATTGCTGCCCTCACTGTTTCTAACTGTGGCACTTAGGCTCCCCAATGGCCGAAGGAGCCTTCCGTAGGACCGTTCAACAACTAGGCTTCAAAAACAAGTTCCGTAAAATAGACAGCTGCGGAACGGCTTCTTATCATTCCGGAGAGCGCCCGGATCCTCGTAAGAACCTGAGCCTTCTCTTCGAGCAATAGGGGAAATTCAACCATACTGATAATTATAGGCACCGTTCAACTTCTTGCTAAGCATGGAATTCATACGAGCCATCTAGCTCGTCAGCTTGCTACCTCGGATTTCAATGATTTCGATTACATACTCCCTATGGATGTATAGTTCCCCTCCCCACCAACCCTATTAATGAGATTAGAGGAGAGGAATTGCTTACTGTTCCTTCTCTTTCCTCGCATAAGGATGCAAACCTGCGTGATATAACCTCTGTCCAACCCGATGGTTCCAAGGCAAAAGGTAAATACACTCCTCACAGAACCGAGCTCAACTCAACGTCTCTAATACTGACGCTCTGGATTCTGTGTCCCCAGTCATGCTCTTTGGAAACTTCGGAGATAATAAAAGCGAGCAAGTTCAAGACCCCTATTATGGCGGTCAAGCTGGTTTTGACAGAAACTATGCCCAGATTATCAGATTTACGAAGGGCTTCCTCCGTGAGGTTTTCGGGGCAGAGATCGATGAGTAGATTCTTTATTATAGATATCACCTTGTCACTCCCTTGTTTTGATGCTTTGGGGGGTGTTTTCGTGGTTTTATACCAAAAGCTCTTTACCCTTTCCTTTTTACATGAGATAGAATGATTCCATACGCCGAACTGAGGCCATTCCAAGCCGAATTTTTTTCAACTCCCTTGTCAGTAAATCATGAGTCCTGAAGGGCAGGACGGCAATAGTCTGCCCGACATCTTTCATGACATTGGTATTCGCTTTTGACATGTTGATGCTCTCGTGGAACCGTCCCCAACTCCTATCATTAATACCGTTCAACATGACGCACGGAGAGTCTTGCTTAAGTATCACCGCAGATATCAAGGCTTACAACACAGCATGGTGTTATCGTTTACACGGGGTTTTGTGAGCTCATCTGCAAAGCAGATGTGAATCCATACATTTCAACCGCCAATTATCACGGCCGCGGTAGTTAGAGATGATTACCTGTGAGGTGTTTCCACCATCTGACACTTCGGAAGCGACACAGAATCCCTAGTCGCCAAGATAGATCAAGCGCGACTTCTTGTTGCGCTACAGGTAATAATAGTGCCGGTAGAATTAAACGGACGAACTCGCTAACAAGATGTTAATTTACCGATAAATGCCCTGCCTAATGTTACAAGTACAGTATTCTGCTACCCCCAAGCGTCCCCCGCGCCATGCCGCAAGTGCCCAAGCCAGAATCCAGTTGGCCGTAAAGCTGGGATCCAGTAACCTTGTAAAGCGTAGCTTTCGTGGAAACGAAAACCCTGGTCCGAAAAAGCAACAAGTGCTCTGACGTTTCTCCACACATGAGTTTCAAGTTCAAAAAAAAAAAAAGTACAGCTCGAGTAATATTTCACTTGCCCCACGTCACCAACGAATAGCTGTGCTGTACAGTGCGGTGCACGAAGTACCTTACTATATATATCGGTATGAATTGGATACAATTTTTTCAGAGAATCCATTCTTCCTAAGAAGTTTACTTGACAAGCAGCTTTCTTCCGAGTCGTTCTGGCATAGTACTGAGATTGCTCTCTACATTTAAGGCAATCACTAACGGAGTCTTACAGACGTGGTGAACTATAAATTCCGCCATCACCCCTTCCACGTACCTGCCTCCTCCGCTCCTATTTTTTCCTCTTTTACTCCTCCTACTTAACTCCGACAACAATGCCATCCCTTGATTTCATACAAGCCCCTCCTCATACGGGCTGCGAGAACCTAGCGGACAGCTTCTGTTTGATAGAGCATCACGAGCTCCTAGACGAGAACGATGGCTTCCATGAAATACAGCGCAACGGGCGCCTGGACATAGGAAGCTTTGAGTCAGATGACGAAAACTTGTCTTCCGAAGAGGACGAATGCCTGTTAAGAGCTGTGGAAGGAGATGGAGAAGAAGATGTAGGTTTCCTTCACCACTCTGGTTTGGGAGGCGTAACGCATCTGATGTCGGAGGTTGTAAAAGTCATCTTTTACTCTCGTAGTAAGAGATGCGAGGCCGCGCACGCACAAGCGTATGCCCATGCGTGAGCAGGAACGAGATGGTGGGGGAGAGAGCCCAGGAGAGATGGATTACAAGCACGGTGGGAAACCGTTGCTTGTTTTCAGGAGTGAGGGGAAAGCGGGGCGTGTGGCGAGCTCAGGTAGCTCTCGGGGAGTGGGTGGAAACGGAGAGGGAATAGAAGACAAGGAGATATCCCCAAAACTCAATTCCGAACCCGAATACGAACCCGACCCCGAGACCCATCTGGCAGAGCCTAACCCAAAGTCGCGAGAGCCCTCTCGGAAACCGCGCACCGCTATGGAATACAGAATCTGGACCGACAAAAACGGTCAATACAGACAAGAGATGATACTCCTCGGCTGCGAGAACGACCACGTACTCTTACTAAAGCGTGATGGCGTAAGACTTAATATCCTTAAGTCAGACTTATCCCCTCAGGACCAAGAATTTGTTACCCAAGCGATGGAACCGCCTATCACAACCTCTCTAAACGGACTCTCGCCAAATGATAACACATCGGTGATCCCATTGTACTCGTACTCCAATAAACCGAAGCCGGACCCTAGTAAGATCCGGAGTTGGCTAGACATCACAGGCAGATACAGTGTTGATGCGCAACTGGTGGGGTTCCGGAAGGGTAAGATTGTGTTGCATAAGACCGATGGTGTTAAGGTTGGGGTTATTCCCAATCAGATGGCTAAGGATGATTTGGCGTTTGCCGAGAAGGAACTTGGGATGGTGTTGACGGGGATTGCGAAGGAGAGGAGAGGAAAGGCGATTGCTTGAATGATTATAGGGGCACACGATTATTATTCATTTGTCTGTTTATCTTCTCCCCTTCCTTCCTTCCTTTCCTATCATCCCTTGTGAGGTGCTTTTGGTACCGCACCCCGACATTGGTGTTTCGACGGTTCTTATTTCAACAGTAAATACTCTTTTCCTTCCTCATACAGTATACATTTTTTTCTTAATGCTTTGGCTTCCGTATATTACATTATGTGTTAACAATTAGGTTATTATGGTTCTCTTTTGTTCGAGGGGGGGTTTTGGGGGGCATTTTTGGCACTTTTTTTAGAGGAAAACGAGAGCAACAAAACACCATCGCATGCTGCCCTGCACCGTAGCACGAGAGCCCAAGGCCCAACTAGCAAGGAAAGGATAATGATTAGGACCTAGAGTCATCGCCTGGTCTTGAATCACATACCGGTACAGCCCTGGGTTTTACGGATGACTTCATAGTGCCATGCAGGTTCATGAATTCAACCATTCCCGGATATCAATTATGGAATAACTTAAGGTTAATTCGTTCCCTGGGGACTTAAGTCTTAGCGCGAGTGTTTTTCATGAAACGCGATAGGAAATCTGTGGTCTAGAGGAATTGCCGGTTGGGGGCAGACGGAAGATTGTGGGCGCACAGCACTGTACTTGAATCAGTACGAGTACTAGTGCAACACAGGAATGTTACCGACTATGATATGATAATAGCAGTCGAGAGAGTTATGGGTAGGTATAATACCGGCAGGGACCTAAGCCGGGAGATAGAGGAGGATAGAGGGGGGGGGTTTCCTAAGTGAATTCAATCAAAAAGATGCGATAAAAGCTACGCTTTAACTTATAATATTATCAATCACATGAGAAGGGCGTTGAAGAGTCAAGGATTTGTACCATCATACAAGTTTCTACTTTAGCAACTTATCATGAACTTGATTCCCAGCGGGGTACGGAAGCTGGATAGTGAGGGGGATCGATTGGGCAGGTTTACCGGTACAGTACCGTATTGTAATCGTTGTATGCTACCGTAGGCCGGCCGCTTCATCACTACCGGTAGTATCAAACGGTATCTGGACTTAATCTTTGCAGGGGGGAAAGGAACAACATCTCTCCACGGCACGTCTCTATCAGCCTTGATCCCCAGGTTGCACCCTGAACTTATCATACATACCCGAAGTCGGTGCTGTATTGACGGGGCAGATCCATGCTCAGTTAACCGGTATCTGTCCGTCGAGGTGAAAATCATCGAATGTCACCGGATGCCGTTACTGGGACCAATATCACATTTCCTCTTTTTCCTGTCGTATCCCGGGGACAGGAAGCTGAATGAGAACTATCCTCCGCTTTTGTCTTGTTGGGTGTTGAACAAGGAAGATGTGTTTCCCCGGCAACAGCGTCTAATTGGACGTCTCCCTCTCCGCTCCTCTCGTCTTTGTCTGAAAGGATCCGCGGGAGAAGTCTTGGCTGTCCATGCCCTGTTCAACCTTCTTTTTCTTCTGTTTGCTGCCAGGACCCAAACTCCCCACAGAGCTTTCTAGAAACCTTTCCCCCCTCCTTTAACCCTTTCATAAGGGTCATAGAGGCTTCTCTTCTTTAAACTCCATCTGCTTAGTCTCAGTGTAAGAGATCACCAACCTTTCCCATTTGAAAATCTTATCATTCACCCGACTACAACAACCTCTTTGTCCCCCCTCCCTACGCTTCACTTCCAAGCCTCCCACGTGCACATTTACCCATAGCTTTTCCTTCCCTCCCCTCCCTGGCATTGTTGGTTGACCTTTGCTGAGAAATAAAGGAAGGGAACGGAAATTGCTAGGCTGCAATGGATATCAACTCGCTTCTATCACCGTCTGACGACTACTCGTCTCCGGCGAACCCCTCCGCTTCCCCACGTCCATCGTCCCGACCAGCCTTCATTGATACAGACTCCAATTCCCCGATTCACTCAGGCCACACATCCAATACTACGCCAACCTCAAACCCCCGACAGTCGCCGTGCAAGGCTAACGAGGCCTCCACCTCGAAAGCATTCTCCGCGTCAGGGATGGGTGGGCCATCAGAGGAAGTTCGGGACGAAGCCATGACTGGCGGGGACGATGATGATGCTGCTGCTGCTGTCGCTGTTGGCGATGGCATTGGCGTGGTGTATGAAGCCGTTATGGAAGATGCATCTGATGGTGACGAAAACGAGGTTGTAGTATCGGTGCCTTTGTCGGAGGAGGATTACACGCGCATCGCCGACCTTTTGGTTTCCATCACCAACCGGCCGTATCAGTATGAATCCCATGTGGAGTATATTTCCCTCCTGCGTCGCGGCTTCCTCGCACACCGGGCCGACCCGAGAGAGTTGGGGCCGTACCCCCTCATCAAGGACCTGCGGAAGGCTCGTGAAGACATGATCGAGAGGTTTCCACTGAACGAGACTATGTGGGCTGAGTGGATTGCCGATGAGATATCTATTTGTGGTGGTCTCGAGGAGCGTCTTGGTGTCATGGAGCTTTGTGCTAAGGCTGTCGAGGAGGAGTCCGCAAGTGTCAAGCTGTGGAAGACTTATGCTGAATATATCGAATCCCAGTATTCTCTGGGGAGGGGTGGGGACGCGGCCGGGAAAGGTAAGGCTAAGAAGCTTCTCAGTGAGGAAGAGGAGGTTACTTTGAAAGGGTGTTTTACGTTGGAATTGGTTGTTGAGACTTATCGGCTGGGTTCTCTTGCTACCAAGGATAATGTTGCTGAGAGCCATGCGCTTTGGAATAAGTATCGCGACTTGATGGTGATGGACTTGGAAGCTAACCCAACGTAAGCTCTTCCTTACTTTATCCGTTGTTGGTAAAACTAACCAGTGGCCTAGTCCCCCCAAGGTCGAATTTATTCGAAACCTCTATATCGCTCGTCTCCAAATCCCACACACCACCATCAGTGATACCTTCTCTGAATTTAGCACCTTCATTACTAGATATGACAACGCAAATTACGAATCTATCATGGTTAGCACTAACAAGCTTTATGCTGTAGCTTTGGCAAAGTACAATGAGCGTTCCAGATATGAGGACCGCCTCCCCAAGCACGGGCAGGTCTCCTTAGCGGAAGAATGGAATGCTTGGGCAGAATACCTAGAATGGGAAACCTCCCGGCCGAAGAAGAAACTCGACGTAGACATGGCATGCGCGCTCTATGAGCGGTGCTTACTGTGCTTCGGCGAGCAGGCCAGAGTTTGGGAAGAATATGTCTTTTTTGCTCTTGAGAAGTCACTGGGCCCTCGTGTTAAGGCACTTTTGAAGCGTGCCACGAGACATTGTCCATGGTCCGGGACGCTATGGGCCCAGTACATAATTGCTTTGGAGAGGGCGTATAGGCCATTTGAAGAGGTTTCTGAAATCAAACACAGGGCTACCACTACTGGGATGTTGGACTTGGGCGGTTTAGAGGAGGTTTTGAAAGTTAACATTGCCTGGTGTGGGTTCTTGAAGAGAAGAGCTTTTGAACATGACGCTGGGGAGGATGATTTCGATATGGCAGAGATGGGGATATCTGAAGCTGTTACTGGTAGGGAATTTCGTGCACTCTTCTTCAATCAATTAGATATCTGGCTAATATGGCACACAGAAACTGGCAAAAAGGATCCCGAGTATCGTCTTCAAAGGATTCATATCAACTTCTGTACTCTTGCTAAGAAGATTGACGCCGCAAGGGAGATCTGGAAGGAGCTTGCCAAGACTCATGGCAATTCTTATGAATACTGGTTACGTTACTATCACTGGGAGCTTTCACATGGGCCAGGGGATAAAGATTATGCAGGCTCGGCTTTAAAAGCAGCTCTGGGGAGAAATACCTTAGATTGGCCTGAGAAGATTCTGGAGACATGGAAAAACCATGTTGAAGACTTTGGAAACGTCGAGGACGTCGAGTACGTGACTGTCCGGTATCGGAAGCTTTCCAAAGAGATTTTGGAGAGGCGAGCGCAGGTGGGAGATTCTTGTGCCTATACAAATTTCAATGGCTACCCTAAGACTAACACCGATTCTCCAGGAGGCACAAGTAGCTGCTCTACAGCAGCAAACAGTGAAGGATCAGCAACCAGAGGCAGATACACCGCAGACTGATGAATCAGCTAGGGCCAGTTCCAAGAGGCGTCGAAGTGTTACTGAGGCTGATGATTCTCAGCCCAAAAAGAAATCCAAAGCTGCTGAGACACTGGCCCCGGAGCAGCCAGCTGCCCACTCGCCTTCTCCAAAGTCTTCCGTAGCGAAGCGTGATCGCGAGAATACCACCGTGATCGTGAAGAACCTGCCGCCGAATTATCCGGAGGTGCGGGTTAGACAGTTTTTCAGAGATGTAAGTTCCTCACTCCGCTCCATCATATAAAGTTAATCGTTGCTAACATGTAACATAAAGTGCGGTACGATCAATAGTTTAAAGCTTATTGTGGAGAAGGATGGAAAGACTTCAACTGCAACTGTTGAGTTTGAGAGCAGGGAAGATGTCCTCACAGCTCAGACTAAAAACTTGAAGATTGTTGATGGGCACTCTATCGAGGTTCAGGTTGGGACTGGGTCAACTCTTTACGTTACAAATTTCCCGCCGACCGCCGATGAGACGTGTATCAGGGATCTGTTCAAAGATGTAGGCCCTCCTCCCCTTCCATAACCCACCCACAGAAATTACCGGAAACTAACAGGCAAATTAAGTGTGGCGAGATCGTCGACATCCGCTTTCCAAGTCTGAAGTACAACTCGCATCGGCGGTTTTGCTATGTCCAGTTTGCGTCATCTGATGAAGCTCAGAAGGCGACCTCCCTGCATGGTAAACAACTTGGAGGCAAGGAAACTCTTGTGGCTAAGATCTCGGCGCCTGACCAGAAGCACGAGCGGTCTGGTGCAGTGTAAGCATCTTCACCCCCCAAGTATCAGAGCTACAACTGATTATTCATTAAGATATGAGGGCCGAGAAGTGTATATCCGGAATATAGATTTTCAGGCACACGATAATGACGTCCAGGAATTATTCCAGAAATATGGGAGAATAGAGAAGGTCCGTCTGCCGCCCGGGCCGAAGAAGGGTACTCACAAAGGCTATGGGTTTGTGACTTTTTCCGCAAAGGTAAACTAAGAGACCTCTATTTTGCAATGTATAAGTTAACAATTCGGCCACAGGAGGAAGCCCTCGCAGCAGTAGAAGGCGCGAACAATACCCAGCTCAAATACCGAACGCTCATAATCAGCATTGCAGACCCAAACCCCAGCAAGCAAAAAACCACCAATGCCAACCCCTCCACAGAGAAAATGAGAGATTCAGCTTCTGACCGAAATACGGACCGCCCCCGCCAAAAATCGGCATACCCTGCTGCTTCACAACAGCCGCCGGCCCCTGCCTTCTCTGACATCAAGCAAAAAACGCTCGGAATAATGAACCTCTCCGACACCGTAAACGACACCAAAATTCGCCACATGTTTGAAAAGTATGGTCCGCTGCGCAAGGTCGCCCTGAGACCCGACCACCAAGGCGCAATCGTAGAATACGAGTCCGTCACCGACGCCGGAAAAGCTACCCTAGCACTCGACGGACTCGAGCTCGCCGGCCGCAAAATCAAGATTGGGGGATTAGCGGACTTGATGCGGCAGTCCCCTGAGAGGAAAGTTTCCAAAGGATTTGCTACCAACAACGGGGGTGGAAAGGTCGGAGTGGTTGCGTTTAAGCCCAGTCAGGTGGGCGCGGGAGGGATGAAGGGGCAGAAGCGAAGAGCTGGCTTGGGCTTTTCAGGTGTGGTCAAAAAGAAGGACGCTGATGGGAAGAAGAATGAAGATATAGTGATGGCGGATGGACCGCCGGCCAGGGAGGCGCCAAAGACAAAGTCGAATGCTGATTTTAAGGCCATGTTTTTGCGGAAGTAGTGGGCATGGATGCATGGATGGATTGTAGATTAATCATCTCATTGGGATGCTGGCGTGTTACATGGCGTGATGATATACCGGGGAGTGGGAGTGGAATTGGGGCAACTGATAAATGACCTGTGCTTCTTTTTATTGTGATTAAATTTTTATGTGGGTGGATGGGAATTTGTGTGGTAATCATGGGTAATCACTCGGCATGCGATTTCGAAAAGGGGGTAAATAGTAGCGTTCTAATTGGGTGCAGGTATGGATTCTTCGCTGTTGGTGTTGTTGCTGAGTGGCAAATTTGAGAGTCTTGCTTGTTCTCTGTTTTGTGTTTCGTGGGTGTTGCCGGATGATGTGACATCTAACCGGCATTATAAGTTAGAAGAAATGTTCATACCTCATCACTCGCTCTATTTCAAGTTGTTCGACCCCACCGAAATCAACTTGGCGGGAGAGCATGGTTTGCTTAGGTATATAGTAGCTGCCTAAGCAGATTGGAATAGACTGGATACTAGCGGAATTCAGGAAGCTTCACTTGTAAATCTACATACATGGCGGGAAAATATCTATTTTGAATCACGGGGAGTACTCAACAATAATGTACACGCACTTCATGAATCTCATCCATCAGGCCCCCAGGAACTTCGAGCAGAGTAACGCCGTCGCAACGCTAACCTATCTTGTGTTAACAATTACCCGAACTCAAGACGATCACACCACAGCCGAAGAAAGAGAAAAGCCCACATTCAATGAATCCACCAAGCTGTCAGTACCGGGCCCCTTAACCAGACTAACACAAAACTTGGCCAACTTCTTCAACGGTGGTCGGAGACCCTCCCCCTCGTTGCCCACGAGCAGCACTACGGGGCCCTCCTTAACTACCTCAGCCACTTCGGGAGCATAGACGTATCGATCTCTGCGGGCTTGGTTCTTCGTTGGCGGTGGGATGGCGGCGTAGACGGTCCAGCCATTTTCCGTGGACTGGGTTATCATGCGTTCACTTTTTGCGTGCTCGAATATTGGGAGGAGTTCCGCGGCTCCAGCGGAGGCTTTTAGACAGACGGGTGAGAGTCGGGCGCTAGTTATTGTCCGGTGTTAGATGTAATGTGAGTGGGGGTCGAGTGTGTATTACCAATTTCTTGCCGTAATGGTCACAGCATCTACACCCAGGAAGTAGGCTGAGCGGAGGATGGCCCCCATGTTGCCGGGATCCAACTAGGGAGGTGGGTGGATGGGTTAGTGAATTTTCCGATCCGGAACTGCGCGGGGGGGGGGTCTCACTATTTCGTCCAACATGAGAACGAATGGGTATCTTCTTTTTGGATCCCTGCAGCGAATCTTATCATAATAGTGTTCGGTCACTGGCCGGCCGTCGAAATAATGTCTGGCCATCTCCAATGTAAAGAAGTTTCTATCTTCTTGGACGCCTTTAAGTGCTATAATAGGGGTTCTTTTTATAGGTAGACATTCAAGAACATAGCCCTACATAATAGTCAATTAGGTTTTACTATCAGCTTGAGTAAACACATACAAACATTATACAACGAGTGGTGACCCAAAACAGAGCGTACCTACATTATGCGGCCTCGAGTTACTCATACTATCCATCTTCCCCATGTCCTCCTCGTCGACAATTTCTACACCTGCGGTCCGTGCCAGATCCTTCATGTCCCGGTCCCGCTCCCGAGCGGCGGGTGTTCTGTTATCGCCTGCGTAGACGTAAAGTTTGTATAGTTCCCTTCGTTTGCACCTTAGAGCAGCCTCTACGACAGAGGTGCCGTATATCCATTCCGCATCGTAGTTTACTTTTGGTATATATCGACGGGGGGCGGGAGTGTAACCGAATTGAGGGGGTTCGTGGTCAAGACGGGGTGATAGTTCTCGTCTTGGTTCTAGCTCAAAGTAATCGCCCTTAGGTTCTCCCTCTCTTCTAGCGACAACCCGTCGGATTGTGGGATCAAGGGGTGGGGGGGAATTTTGGTAGATTGCAGGCTCAGGGCTATAGTCGTACTCGCGAGTGTCCTTTTGACAGCCATAGTAACGATCTGCAGCAGCTGAACGACGGAGACCACGGTTGATGGCAGAATCTGTGGAGACCGATCGGTGTAGAGGTTTGTAGAGTATCTTGATAGGGATTTTGTGCAATAATCGAGCTGATTGGGGGGTGTTCATTGCTGTCTCCACTGTGTTGTGCCAGACTCCCGATTGGGTCAGAATGGTTGGAGGAGAATTCTTGAAGCCTCGATTTGCCTTGCTGCTGACCAAGCAGAAAATTCTGGGCCTGTGACATCCTTATGAGTTCGGACGGGGGTTCATTAATGCAGGTCGCGCTTATCACCCAGAGCCTCCATCTCGTGTTGCTTTGTGATCCTCGTCAACTAAACGCCTTTGTAGCTTTCTCGTCAGGTCGCGTCTTCCCAACATACCCTTCACTCCCTCAGACCTCTCTATTGACTTCACCTCTACCCCTTTCTTCCCCCGCCCCTTTCCCCACAGTATCAAACCTTCCCTCAACTTTTTCTTTCTCTTTGTCCTCAACACCCTTTCTTCTCACTTTCTCATCCATTTGCTTTCCCCTTAACCATTCCCTGCCAACGCGTCCTCACCCGAGATTGGGTACAAACAATTCAGCCATGCCGCTAACAGCAGAAAGTGACATTGAGGTGTCTTATCACTCTGAAAATGGGGTCGAGACCCCAGATGAAGCGTCTACTCAGCTTTTGGCTGCACTCAACCCAGCCTCCGGTGGTCGGGTTAAACGGAAGTTCGCCATTGATCCTCCTACGCTCGAATCTCTCGGGTTCAGCCGTGATGACTATCAGAGTTTCCCTGAAGAAATGCTCATTAAGAAGATCAAAAAAGAAGTGGAAATTAAGGGTGTGATCCACTGCAAGGCAATATTTGCTGATGGCAGCGGTGTTATGGTAAGTTTATATTCCTGGAAAAGTTATTCACCCTCTGGTGAGAAATTCTAATCGCAGATCAAATTCACAGATGCCCTACACTCAGCTGGCCCGCTACGATAATTGGGGAGAAGCTTATGCGGATTTTGTTAACCAGGACGGTACCTTGCTGGGTGCAACGAGTTCTGAGGAGACGGGTTCTGGGCGGGATACTTCCGCATCAAGTCTTCAGGGTCGTCAGGGCTCGGGAAAAACTACTACCCCCAGGAATGTTGGTAGCTCCTCGCGCTCTGGACAACGTGTTGAACTGAATTCCCTTGATCAAGTCTCCCAAGGTGATAACAATTCACCAGCACCCGTTGCCGAGGGTCGCCAACTTAGGAAGCGGAATTTGTCACTCCTTGTGAAGCAACGAAAATCCATGCGGGAAGCTGAAGGAATAGAGTCCTCGGAAGATGAGGATGCTAATAAGGCTATCGGGTCTCGAAACCCGGCCAAAGGCGGTGGTCGGCGTACTAGGTCAACCGGAATTTCAAAAGTCCGGATGCTTCCTTACGGCTATGATGACGATGACGAGCTCATTGTTTCTGATCTAAAGCCCCCGCCCGGTAGGCGTCGCCGAGGCCTTGTATCATTGAACCGCAGAAACGTAACGGAGGCGGGATACGGGAGTTCCGACTATGACAACGGCAATCCTCCTGAGAGACGTTCCGGGCGGACAACAGGACGCAAGAATATGTACCGAGAACCAGACCCAAATGCCGACGACGACTTCATGGATATCGACACCGTTGCTAAGCCTAAAAAGCCCCAAGTTGTACGCGCTAAAGAGGTTTTCCCGTATCTAGACAAACACGGAGATTTTGCCAGATTTCACGACCGTACATGCGACACCTGCCTCAACCACGGCACCTCTAAATCAAGAGGCATCCTGGTATATTGCCAGGGCTGCTCTTACACTTATCACCAACTTTGTCTGGGACATCGCGCGAATCGCGAGCATCTTATTACCAGGGTGGCCGGTGAAAACCATGTTTTGCAGTGTAAACGCTGCATAGGAAGGGCTCGACTTAAGAGATCTACTGCGCCGTGCCTGGATAAGTGTACAGCATGTCATATCACAGGGAAATCTTGCCCACCCCTTTTCGGATCTAGGGAACAGGTCTGGCAGAAAAAAGAGGCATCAGCAAATGCTAGTGCTGAAACTTCGACGGTGAGGGTCGATCCAGAGCGCCTCTATAATCCTGAGAATATCACCGCCAATCACCACGAGGGTGCCGGAGAGCGTGGCATTTTAACCATCTACCTGCTACCTCTGAGAGTGTTGGCAAGCCTACTGCCAAAAATCGGCTGGAGGAATATTCACGAGAGTGGAGATGCGACCTATGTCAGGAATATAGAGAGAAGGCCAATATTATCCTCGCATGGCGTCCCTCTGACAAGCAGGCCAGGCAGATGAAACCAGAGCTAATCGACTATACGGACTTCGCTGAAGACGAGCGCGAGTACCTAGTCAAGTTTGCTAAACAGTCTTACTTTCATTGCATTTGGTTACCTGGGGCATGGGTTTCTGGGGCCTTCCCCTTGCTTCATACAGGGTTCATGAAGAGAGGTCCAAAACTTTGTATGACGACTGAAGAGGCTGTTCCTGAGGAGTGGCTTCGGATAGAAATCTGCTTGGATGTTGAATATGACTCTTATGTCCCAGTGGGTAATGACGCAGAACTCGACCTGTCGCGGATAACCGACGTAACTAAAGCTTATGTCAAATTCAGAGGCTTGGGATACGAAGAGGCGGTCTGGGAGCAACCTCCCAATGAGAGTGAAGAGGAGAGATGGGAGGAATGGAAACAGGCCTACGGAGATTATATCCATGGGTTTTACGTTCGCAGCACAAGAGGGATTCTCGATCGGATAAAGAAGGCTCGCTCTCTCAATTTTGATCAGAAGCTTGTAAAAAAGATGCAGCCCGAATACATAAAAGGCGGGACTTTGATGGATTACCAAATGGAGGGACTAAAGTAAGCTATCACAATTTACCAATTTTAGGCCTCGATGTACCATGTGTTAATGCTTTTACAGTTGGCTATACTATAAGTGGTGGAAAGGCCAGAATGCGGTTCTCGCAGATGAGATGGGTCTTGGTAGGTTCGGCCTTGATTCTTGTTTGAATGCCACTAATTTGCCATAGGGAAAACCATTCAAGTCATATCATTTCTATCGGTGTTGCTTGAGGACCATAACGTGTGGCCCTTCTTGATCGTCGTTCCTAACTCAACTGTACCGAACTGGTTAGTATAGTACACTATGCATTAGCATAACTCCTTCTTTGACGAAACGCTAACACAGCCGAAAGGAAACGAGAAATCCAGCGTTGGCTCCCCAATATGCGGGTTGTAGCATACCCCAGCGTCGACATAGCCCGGAAGCTTTCAGTATTCCCCCTATTTAGGCTGTTGTGAGCCGTGCTAACTGAAGGCAGAAAAAATATGAAATGTTTCATCCTGGCACCACGGATCTCAAGTGTCATGTTGTTGTTACATCTTACAACTCGCCTGTTTCAGACGCAAAGACCCTTAGGCCAATCCGTTGGCAAGCGCTAATTGTTGATGAAGGGCAGAGATTAAAGAATGACCGGAGCCAGTTTTACACCGAGATGGCCAAATATCATACTGGTTTCAAGCTCTTGATGACTGGCACACCATTGCAGAACAATCCGAGGGAACTTTTCAATTTGCTGCAATTCCTAGACCCGAAGGTACAGGCAGCCGAGATGGAGGAGGAATTCGGAGAACTTACCAAAGAGAATGTGCCCACCCTTCATGCTATGATTCGGTAGGTTGTACTCTACATGAGCCCATAATTTTTAGAATGCCTATTGACTTTGGATAGACCATACTTTTTGAGAAGGACTAAAGGCATGGTGCTGGACTTACCACCAATGACCGAGATCATCGTCCCTGTCAGTATGACTAATGTTCAAAGGAAACTCTACAAGTCCATTCTAACCAAGGATACTGCCCTCATTAAATCGATTCTCGCCAAACATGGAAAGGGGAAATTGAAGCTTACTGAGAGGACAAAGCTTAACAACCTGCTTATGCAGTTAAGAAAGTGTCTTTGTCATCCTTTCCTCTATAACGAGGATATTGAAGAGCAAGATGTTGACCCGGAAACCGCACACAAAAACTTGGTTGACGCTGGGTCCAAGTTGGAGCTACTGAGCTTATTGCTACCAAAGCTCAAAGAAAAGGGGCACAGAGTGCTCATGTTTACCCAGTTTTTAGGGATGTTGGATATTCTAGAGGACTTCCTTTTTGCACTAGATCTGAAATATCAACGTCTCGATGGCGGGGTGTCAACTCTTGAGAGACAGAAGAGGATAGATTCATTCAATGCCCCGGATTCCAAATATTTCGCATTCATGCTTTCAACGAGAGCTGGAGGAGTCGGGATCAACCTCGCAACGGCAGACACCGTCATCATCCTAGATCCAGATTTCAATCCCCATCAAGACATCCAAGCCCTATCCAGGGCCCACAGGATCGGGCAAACGAAGAGAGTGCAGGTCTTTCATCTCGTAACTAGAGATACAGCAGAGGAAAAGATCATTCAAATTGGTAAAAAGAAGCTAAGCCTCGACCATTTGATCATAGAAAAGATGGATGCTACAGAAGAAGAGGAAGTTGATGTCGAGAGTATCTTGAAATTTGGAGCTAGGGCGCTGTTCGAAGATGAGGGAGAAGCATCTGAGGCGAGAAGAATCCGGTACGATGATGATAGTGTGGATAAGCTTCTCGAAAGAGTTGCTACAGAGGAGCCAACAGTCGCTGAGAAAGATGGTGCAAACACTGGAGAAACTGCCTTCAGTTTTGCCCGAGTCTGGGCTAATGACACATCGGTACTAGAGGAAGGCTTCGGTCAAGAGCAAGAGGAGGAGGCCCCTCTCGGATTCTGGGACAAAGTTTTGAAGGAGCGGGAAGAGGAGGCCCGGCTTGAAGCAGCTTCCAAAGCCGAAGAACTTGGGAGGGGAAGGAGAAACAAGAAAGTTGATTACAGGATGGGACTCGATTTTTCTTCCAAACGAGGTCCTGGGGCGACGAGTGACACGGATTTCCACGATTCATCAGGCCCTGAATCGGACTCGGAGGGGGAACGCGCAGGGAGCGAGCTTTCCGATAAGCTGATAAATGCTAACCATACTCAGAACTTGGGCCCCCAGACCACACCAATTATCCCCCAAACTCCAATGGAATTTGCTCTCCCAGGCTCTAATCACTTGGCGATACCACGTCCCCCTCCATCTTATGTTCCGCCTTCAAGCCGGCATATTCCTATTGCCCAGCCCCCTTACCCTCCTTACCCTCCTTCTGCATCATTTAATAGAACTCCAATCGGCAACTTTCATCCGTTGCAGTCGACACAACACGTTTTTGGTGTTCCTCCCACGCCCGCCATGCCCCGTAGCTCGATGGCACCAATGATACCGGCTGCTCCCGTTGCCCCGATTGCACCCATGGTTCTTCCTCCGCTTCACGTTTTCCACACCGCACCCGGCCCGGCGGCCATGTCTCACCCAGATCTCAACGGTAAATGCCTGGCTTGTGGCAACCCCCACTCACCAGGCCAGTGCCCACTGAGAGATATCCCTGTGCAGCATTGCCAACTCTGCTCGACTGCGCACCTCCCTGGTATAAACACCTGCCCGCATCTTAGCAGCGAGACCCAGGTCAATGAGATGCTCATGGCGGTTAATCTGAGCCCAGAAATTCCGGCACTAACTGCAGACGCGAAGCAGCTCCTAAGGGAGCGCAAAGGAGAAATAAAATTGAAGAAGAAGGAAGTAGCCAGAAGGAGACAAGCCTCCATGAATAACGCACCATCAGCAAATGGGTATTAAAATGTTTTACTTTCCGCACTCCGCCGACCTGGTCCCGTTCACAACCCCTCGACCGCATCCCTCAACTCCGCCCCCTTTTTTTTCTTCTGACTTTCCCTTTTGATCTATTTCCTTTCTATTCCTTCGCAACACTATCTCTTAGCTGGCTTACCCAGATTTAATACCGTAGCCTTTCCCTCACACTCGCTTATCTTTTTTTTTTCTCTTTTCCCCTTTACTCCTACCGTTCTATGGCATTCTTCCGGTGGCTAGCATAGAGGATGTGAGGTTACCGGCGTTGAGTTACAGTGAAATGTGCAAATGTGCAAAGGGGGAGGCACTCGTCGTGTTTTTCTAGTAGATAGCTACTTTGAGCAACAATTAGCAGGAGAGAAAAATAAGTTAAGAGATTTGAGATTTGCCTAATACAAGTTGTATCATTGGTGTTCGTTCACTCACATGATATCTGTTTGTCGCTATCGCGGTCATTGACTCAAGTAGGTGACAGGACAAACGATAATTAACCAGCTTTTGTCTGTCAGTCAGTCAGACTAGTCTGCAAGTCTCGATTGAGTTCATTTGTTGAAGCCCAAATTGATAAGCAACTCGCTCTCGATAGGGGGTTGTTTATCCTCGATCAACTTACAGTACTATGCTCTATATTCCTTACTCGAGGTTGGCAAATTCTATGGCAGGATATTGCGCTCGCGTACCGGTCCCAATCGGTGAATGAATGAATGCTTGGATCACAGTAATCATTCTCGTATTTCCGTCATGACTCGTTTATGGTAATAATTCACTTTAAAGTGCTTGAATTGTGGTAGATTTCATTCCCGCCAACCCTAAATGCCACCTACACCCAAGGCCTGATCGGGCAGCAATCTTAGCTACAATATAGGTGAGTAAGTAACACTATGGTACCGGTATCTCGAGTACTGGAAGGGTGCTGTTCCCACGTCGATACAATTTCGCGGGTGAAGAAATCAAAAAAGAATGATCTGCCGATAAAGCTTGGCGCTGGAGTCTCGACATGGGACTGAAGGAAGGGGAAAGAAGAAAAAAAGGAGTTGGTGGTAGGCTGCTTCCACACATCAGGCTCTTCCTGAGTTACATCCACAACTATTTTTTTTTTATTTTTTTCCCTTTTTATTTCTTCAATCATAATCATAACTAACTTCACCTGCCCTTTCTCCTCCCCTCTTCTCTCCTCCCCTCTTGTCTCCCTCCCTCTATCTACTACCCCCCGCCCCTCTCACCCTCCCTTCCTATTTACTCCATCTAACGCGTATCTTCTTCCCCCCAGTCGAGCTCTTCCTCGGCCGTCGAAATCTTCCGCAAAAGTTCCCTTCACAGACCCGGGAGCTATCTCGGAATTCTGACGGCCATCGCCAGAAATCTCTATCGCTTTTTTTTTTTCTTTTCCCATTCTACCCCTAATCTCATTTCCATTTTTTGTCCATTGAATTTACGACTTGACGAGCCCACGACGTTATCCCTTTGAATTTATAGTTTATTTCTAAAATTTTCTTAATCGCCCTCTCGGAAAAACTCTCGCTACCATCGTCGTTTTTTATTTGCACAGCAGACTCAAAGTTTTCACCTAATCTCGAGTCTCTCCTGCCCTTTTCCACCTCGATCCAATCAACGTCATAAAAGAACAAACGTTTATTGTGCTGTTATCGCCCCCCCCCCCCTCCCTTACTCCCATCGCCGGAGAGTAAATCACTTACAAAAGCCTCCCTCGATTTCCCGTCATTTATAACCACAAATCAAACAGCAACGACAATGAGTAGACGCAAGATTATTTCCCGCCGCCGCGGCCCTGAGGATGAAGAGGATGAGGAACTAGGAGCTGAGGACTCTTACACTGATGACTCTGGCCTTAGCGAAAGTGAGCGGGAGGAGGATGCGGCTACCGATGGGACTCTCAGCGAGGAAGAGGGTGACGACTTAGATGAGGGGGAAGTTGCGAATGAGGGCAAAACGGCAGGGACGAATGGAGAGGGTGGCGGAAAGGCAAAGTTTGTGCACGCTGGCAATGGGGATACGGATGTTATGATAAATGGCGTGCGGGGAAAGGATGAGGATGCTGAAGAGGTGGATTTCTCCGAGATGGGGGAGGATGACGGGGTGGAGAAAGCGCTGGTCAATAATCCCCGGGGCGAGGCTGCAGAGGAGGAAGTGGGTCATGAAGAGATGGAGCAGGGGGAGCCACAGTCGCAGGAAGTTGAGGAGAAACCTCATGAAACTGCGGAGGAGAAAAGGAGACGAGAGCATGAGGAATATAAGAAGCGGCGAGATGCCGATCCTGCGTTTGTACCTAACAGAGGTGCCTTTTATTTGCACGACCACAGACACGCTGAGGGATTCAGACCTTTTGCAAGGGGCGGCGGAAGGGCTGGAAGGGGTGGTCGATTCTCTAGGTATGTCACTGCTACTGTGTGGAGCTAACCCCTTTGCTTTAATACCCCGACATATTAGGCTGGTTGGACTAACACCTCTTCAAAGTGAATATATGAACCACAGTGCCCCCGTTGAACTTCAGTGGCAGCACGATATGCATGAAGAAACTCATACAGATCACCGCCGCTCAATGCCTGTTCATCAGAGTAACCACTCGTTTGCGCCTAATAATCGCCTACGAGGGAATGGAGACCCCCCACGATCTTTTGGACGAACCGTTTATAAAGGAAATGTTCAGATTCAGGTCAATCTCCCAGGGATGAAAGCGCCCATCACATTTAGCGAGGTTCCATCAAAGGTGTACACAAGGCTACCCTACCACCGACCTCCGCTTCGACGGGACAAACCCGTCCGAATTGCACTCCCAGATGCGCCAGTTAGATACATTTATCCGAGCCCCACCCGCTCATTTATATTTATTCCAAGAGCGATGAGGCCTGGTGGGTCAGGATATATAAGAGGTGGCGGCCGCGGTAGAGGCGGATTCTACAGTCAGGGGAGGAGCGTTTATGGCGGCTCGAACGGATATTCTCCATCCGTTGGGATGTCCCGAAGATCGTCTTTACAGTTCGAGCACAAGCCCCAGTTCACACCTCCCATGCCGGCACCGGCTCAACCTCACCAACCTGCAGCACCCATCGCTAGTCATGTTGAATCGTCCTCTCGACCATCGGTTGGAGAGGAAGAGCCACCAGCCAAGCCTGTCGTCAGGCTGCCAGTCGTGCCTCAACAACACCTTGCCCAGCAGCAACAGGCTCACCCCCAAGCTCTGATGCCACAACAGCCACCCCAAGCCCAAACTCCAAAGATTGTTCCGCAACACCCGCCACCATCCTATACACCTAACCCCGTCGCGTACCGTGAGCATCGGGCTACTCCAAAGATCCCAATGCATCAGCCACGACCCCAGAAAGCTGTCAATGTCGCCGAGATAGACTCTCCGGCTGTTATGCATTTTCCTCAATCTTACGGTGGGCATATGTATCCGGAAAATATTCCCACCCCTGGAGTCCCTCAGAACATGTATGCCCATTCTCGACAAGCTTCATACCCATCCCAAACCTCTGGAACACCACTCTCTCATATTCCGGAGGCCGCTGTCCATGCTCGAGCGTTTCATCCCGTGTATCCTCCCCAGCCCGGATACTATTCGTATCCCCCGCAACCCCACCCTGTTCCCCAGATACATCAAATTCATGGGCTGCCGCCACACCACCACGACCCTAGAGCCCTCCACCCACCTCCTCCATATGTTCCTTCGGGGCCGTCGCCTATGCCAAATGGTGCTGCCAACCATTACGCTATAATACCCGCTCAACCGCCTGCTCAGCCCGTAGCAGTGACAACTGGTCCACCCACCGGCCCTACAACAATTGCGCAGGAAAGCAATGGGATGGTCTACTACTCTACTTGGGATCCCAATCAATACTATACTTATCCAACTGGAGGGCCTGCAGGTTATCCTGGCACCCCCGGCATGCCGATTACCCCTGCTCCGGATGGGTCTGTGAATGGTGCGCCAGGACCAGGACCAGTGTACTTCTACCCAGGAGCTCAAACACCGCATCAGCATCCCATCTACTACGCACAGTAAATGTCTGAACTAGAAGAATACCTGGTTTTTCATTTCAACTCATGGAGCACTGTTTTTTATTTATTTACTTGTCTTTTCCTAATAATTGTTTCCGCACTCATCATAGTGCCAGGATTCCCGATACTGGTTTCTGCCATTTTTTTCTTTTTTCTTCCTTTCATATCAGAGCCTAGTTCATGGTACTTTCATTTACTGGGCAACCTCGTACGGCTTTTCTTCACGATCATCAATCTCATATCCTCTGTTCTATGTTTGTGCTGTGCAATCTTGACGCTGAGTTTACGGATATTGTTGCCAGCCCATTAGCTATTACGGACTTGTTTCTAAGAGGATCGAGAAAAAAGCATTTCCATCACGTTGTTTACTTCACCTGGTCAACTTTTTTTTTTTTTTTTTTTTGACAGGGAAAAGGGCATTAAATTCGTATGATACTTATCATTATTCAACTTCTCCATTTTCACCATCTCCGTTTGCTAAATTACCTTTCTTTCTCTTTCATTCTGGGAGTGTTTTGAATAACCTTTTTTTTCGTCCTGCGTCTTCGCCATTTGTTTACAGTCTGATCACTTATTATTATCATCAAATTCTTTCATCTCTTGCAGCTTTCCCTTCACTATCTTCCCACCGGTACCTTGGTCTTTTGTTTATTCTTTTTTTGCCTTTTTTCCTTTCCACTCTAAGTTGTCAAATGGGGAAGCCCCTGAATATGCATGGTGCAATAGAAGCATGGATCGATCCACCTTTTTTTCCCCCTTCCCTTTCTATTTTACTTATCGATTCGCCGTTTATTGTGCTTTCCGCTTCTTTCCTTCCCATCCTTCCCTCTCTCTCTCGTTATTTCCAAGACGGTTCTAGTAGCCTGGCTGGTTGATTAGTTGGTGGGGGGAGGTTCGTACTGTGTACCGGTATTATGGGTTTTCTTCGCTTTCAATTTTCAGTTCTCTTTTTTTGTCTTACCTTTCTGGATGGATGGAATGTCTGGGGGCGTGATGGAACTGTATGGAAATGGGGAAGATAAACGAAAAGAAGAAAAAATATATATTATATTTTCAACGTTGGTGATTTGATTTGTAAGAGAAAAGAAACGATGGAAGGAGGCGAATTGAGGCAAAAAGAAGTTGAAGATGAATAAGAAGAATAGTGGTCTATATTTTTGCCTAGGACACCGTGCCACCGTAATAGTAATCGCGACAGTAACACGACACCAACCTACGAGTACAGTAGGGGTTTTCAATGCTAAAATGATGGTTGAAGGTAAAATGATCAACACACAGTAGTGCATTAGTATATATTAGTGCGCATTAGTGTATATATCAATTGTGGCCAATTGTATCCAAGAATTTTAAGTAATAAATTTGAAGCTCCTGAAAATGTGGTAAGTTGAGCTCAGTAGGGTTTTGGTTGTAGAGTAAGAGAAAAAATTTTCCTCACTTGCATCATAATAGAAACAATGATTTCCTTCTTTACAATAATTGCCAAAGAGCAATAAATAGGTGGCAGAGGGGGAGGGTGCCATGGTCCACATTCGATTTGGACAGAAAACGAGAATAAGCAGCTCATCCAGTGGCTAGAGAATCCAGACAATTTGTGAAAGATGAAAAAAGAATCTGGAGTTTCAAAAAAAGAGCTCATCACTGAGATCTCTCTACAAATTCCCATGAAACCTACTATCAAGTTTGGTTACAAGTATGATAACCTTCTGAAATCATAAAGGGCAGCCGCAAAGCTCAATAATCAATCAGGATGAAGACTTACTAAAATAGATATGGATGAAGGAAGAAGGAGTTTAAGAGGTATGTATATTAAACATTATTTGTATATACATTGAGGTAAGAAAAAGTGAAAGACATGACAGAGAAAGAAGAAAAAAAAAGTTACAAGGAAAGACAGTATGCTAATACTTATAGAAAAACTCCTATTACAGTACCTCTACTTCTTTCGCTTGGAGAATATTTTAGGAGACCAATTGGATGTATGTCCATCAGCCATCTATGATTCGGGCTCCGGTAAGTGGAAAGCAACAGGAGTTCAAACTCTCCTAAGCGCAATGGTGACCCCAACTAGTATTGAGGAAACCAGGAAGAGTACAAATGTGGAAGAAGTAAATAGCGCGGAAAAGGTGGAAATAAATTGGAAAGGGAAGAGAGAAGAGGGAGGGATAGTGTAGAGAAAAGGGGGCGCAGAGAATGATAGAGTGGAAGAGGAATGGCCAGGAGATATTGGTTTGAAAGAAGAGAGGTAGAAAACAGGAGAAGAGGTATGAATTGGATCAGAGGTTAGAATATGGGAGAGTAGAATGGCAGAGGGAAAGGCAGTTGTGAGAAGAGATGAAGGAGAAAGTGGAGAAGCAAGTCAAAGAAGACAAAAAGAAAGGTGAGTTGTATCTATCTAATTGTTAATTGGTAAATGGCTATAAAAGAAACAAATCAAGCTAGAAATCAATCGATGCCTACCACAGTAATTAGAGGTACAAAGCGATGTCGCTTTCCTGAAATGCTTGAGGATGAAGATGTAGAAGTCGACTCAAGTATGAAAAGTGATATAGAAGGATCTAAGAATAAAAAGAAAGGTGGATCAACTGCTCTCATTGATGCAGTTAGTATTTTAGCTTCTGCAAAATTCAAGGAAGAGATAAGAAAGTTTGACTTTCTTATGAAGCACTTACAGCAGCAAGGAGAGTTATAAAGACAGGAATTAGCTCTTAGGTATGAGAAATTAGCAATTGAAAGAGAAAAAAATACAGCTGAGCAGAAACAAACCAAGATGATGATGATGGAGTTACAAGTATCCATTGAGTGAAGATTGGGTGGAGGAGTTGAACAACAGGAGATGACCAAAAGAGTTAAGACTGATTCTGGCAAGAAAGACAACAAAGATATTATTAAACTTGATCAAATTTGAATATTCCATTATTTTTTGTTTATTCTACTCTGAGATTATTTGTTTTATTATTCTATTATTTATTCTACTTAATTATTCTACTTGTTTATTTGATTTTTTTTTTTTTTAATTTAGATATTTTTAATTGTGTTATCAATCAATAGTTATCAATTAATTAGTTAAAAAAATTCATGCATTTGATTTCTCTATTCTGCCCCAGCTCGATGCTCTGTCTCAATACTTATAGTCTTATTGTAACGATCCCTCCTTGGATAGTTAGTTCTTAGCGACGGGGAACGATACTTCTCTTCTCCTTCTGTTTCTTTCCTTAGTCTTACAATAGCACTAGGCCTCTGCCTACATTACCAATAGTACAAGACCTCTGTCTTCTATCGGGAATGCCTATGGTAAGCTTTTTCTAACTCTTCTTCGTGAAGAACTTTCCTTGGCGTAATGATAATGTTGCAATAAAGATAAAGATTGTAAATATTAGGCGGAGACAACTTGATAGACTTCAAAGTTGTCTAGGCTAATCAAGATTCGTTTCTGTAGACAGAGATTGTCTAGGAAGGCTCGGACTTTGCTCATTTCATTTATGACTACTAGGAGCGAAGTAGAATAGGTAAAGTAGGGTAGAATTGTAAAAACAATATTATATTGTTCAGGTCTCTTCTCCGTTGCTTGATGATGTCTAAAGCTTGGGAGGTACTTCGATATTTATATTCCGCATCTGAGTGTTCGCGGACTACATCTATTTATCATACAACTATGTACTTCTTCAATTGTAATTTGCGACGTTGAGTTTTCTTCCATGGTGCGAACACCTGTGGACCTTGAAAACCATCACACCCTCTTCGGTAATTACGATATTTCTTCTTAGAAAATGTGCTGTTCTCAATAGTAATATCCTGATTAGCAGAGTCTTTAGACTTATGGCCTAGTTCTTAAGTCAAACTAAGTTGGCTCCAATTGTCTTCACCATTGATAAAATGATCAGTTTTATCTACAGCTATATCTGCAAAGGTGGTCGTCATTACAACCATCATAGGTTGTCTGACTCCGATCCTTTGTAACTCCATACCCAACTGATAGATTTTCTCTGGATGACTTCCTATCAACTCGCAGGAAGCGATTTCACCAGATTGGTAATTAATCCCTCGGTCGGCAACCCTTGGTTGCTCTCTGGGTAGTAGGTTTCAGTAACCATTGTAGTATTGAGAATCACCCCATGGCTACAACGTGTTCCGAAACCCAGTTGCAATACTCCGTAAAGTTCGTTGGCTTCTTTGGTAGTATCTTTTAGAGTTCTAGACTCTTCTGGTGGATGTAAATGTATTGGTCTCTAGTGGAGATCCTTTACTATTTGATACCATCTCTTTGTGCGAAATCGTCCCGTTACTTACGGCCCACGCCAAAGGTATCATGTCTTTGAAGCCAAGTAGCTCTCTGGGTAGTTGACAGAATTACTCCGTTCCACTTCCCAGGCCTAGCCGAAGGTCCCCTCTCATATATTCTGCAATTGGGATCTAGTCGGACAGACGGTGACGACGTATATGGTGTTATTCTAATACCTTCAATTCTGTGGTAATATAGTCACAGGATGCAACTGAGATTAATATCTATGATGACGTGCGGGCCCCGTAAGGGAGCCGGAGGGGGGTGTTGGAGACCAGAGATTCCAATTCTGAGTGGGGTTACCCTACTTAGGGTAGTTCCTAGGTATCGGGTTCTGGTATTCCTAACAGTAAAGGTGTTTTATATTCGTTAAAGTAATAAGTAGGAAAAGTACTTAGAATTCAATCTAATTTTATTTATACTAGTACTGCCAACACTGGCATACAACTAGTCACCCCCGCATCTCATAAAACAAACTATCCAAAATACACTACCGCGGACCATTCCGCCTCGCAATCGCTCCCCCCAAACATAAATTCAAAAAACACTACCTAAGTGGGCTCATGGGCACTTGCAGTGACTAGCGCTGCCCCGGATTAACGCGTCTTCCCACCTGGCTATCCAGCCACCATCTCATACCCTCACCCCTATCCACCCCCAACACAATCTGGCCTACATACTCCACAAAAGAAACATACAGTCTATCCCAACATCCCTCCGTCCTCTTGTAATGCAACCCAAGATACAAGTATCCTTCTGCCAACACCACACTGCAGTAGGAGCAGCGTAATTTCTTTAATAACCCATTCACTGTAGCCCACCTCAAAACCACTGACGTTCATGTTGCCAAGTTCAGCTCATCCCACTGCAAATGCTGGGAGCGCCAAAATCGATCATAACAAGTCTGTAGACAACGGGGATGTTTTTCGAAGTGTTCCCTGAAGGTGGTGCGTTTCTTTGTGGCCTTAGCGGCGATGGCGGTACCACAACAGGGACAGTCACACCGTTGCTGGTCAGGCAAAAAGAACCACTTCTTTTGTAGTGTCATCTTGCCAGGCAGAACGCAGCCACTGCTATCATGTCTCTTTTCGCACTGGGCAGAGGTCATAGGGTCTTCTATCAACATTGTTCCCCCATTCCTTTCCACCATCAGTGTGCCGTCAAAGGGATTACCCGCCACAACCAACTCCCCATCTATCATTTCAACATGGCGAGGGATTCTCAGACCCGACCACCGATAATCCATCCACCAATGCTTCTATCTTAGGACTGCTGAATCCTTATACAAGTCTTCATCAGCAAGGCATCTTGTAGCATAGCGGGGGCACTTAGTCCAGTGGTGTTGGTCTTCCTTCCCATCACAACTGTCATAGCCGACCATGCCCGTCCCACTGTGGATTCTCAACAAAACGTAAGAATCCATCTGAGTTAGGCCTTGGAGGTGCCGAGGTGCCTTCGGTTCTCAAGCATAGTACTCGTACCCTTCTCTAGCATACCAAGTCCTCCATTCCTCCTTACGGAGCTCCCGGGTCAGGACCGCATTGTTAGGAATATCAGAACCCGATACCTAGGAACCACCCTAAGTAGGGTAACCCCACTCAGAATCGGAATTTCTGGTCTCCAACACCCCCCTCCGGCTTACTTACAGGGCCCGCACATCATCATATATATCAACCTC